CACCCCATGGCTGCCTGAAAGGCACAGCCCTCCTCCCAGCAGCCGCTCTGGGAAGGGTCAGGGCTCAGCCATTCCTGTGTGGGTGCCTGGGAGATGTCTGGGCTCAGGGACCTTCTAGGACAGCGGTTCTCAACCTGTGGATCGCAGCCCCTTTGGCGGTCGAACGACCCTTTCACAGGGGTCGCCTAAGACCATCCTGCATAGCAGATATTTACATTACAATTCATAACAGCAGCAACATTACAGTTATGAAGTAGCAACGAAAATAATTTTATGGTTGGGTCACAACATGAGGATCTGTATTTAAAGGGCCAGAAGGTTGAAAACCACTGATCTAGAATGAGCGGCACAGCCTTGTTTGTCTCGGGCATCCCGGGCCTAGGGGGTTCAGGGCCAGAGGCAGCACTGCTGGTCAGGAAGCGAGAGCCTGGAGGGCCAGGCTCCCCAGGGCTGTGCTGGGCCAGCGGGCGGCACAGGCCCCGAGGCTGCGCCTGGCCCCGGAGAAGGGCAGTGTTAGCGGCCAGGGAGGAAGGCCCTGTCAGCCCCTGCCACTCCCACAGCCACAGCCTCACGCCCATCGCAGGACGGCCTCGAGGAGACTTCCCGGAACAGGGATGGGAAGGAACAAACACTGGGCACCAGAATGGGGACGCCTGACAGCAAACGGGGCAAACCCACACCCTCCGGCACAGGCCTGAATGGCTTTCCCAGAATTTCCATGCGCTTGACGGGCTGGGGTTCTGGAGTCTTAGTGGATTCGCCTCGCAATCCAGTGGCCCCTGGTCCTCTGCTCTAGATGCTGCGCTGCCCCCAAGCAAGTGCCCCAGAAAGCCTGAACCCCATCAGGCCATCAAGGGCTCCTGTCCGGTTCCCGCTCCCTCAGGTCAGTTTCTTCTCGCTGAGCGCCACGCCCTGCGTTTGCTCCTGTGCTCCAGCCGCTCCCAGGGCCACCAGCCATGATCCCACCGCTCCTCCCTGTGGTCCGCCCCTCACCTGCCCTCATTATAATGGTGCCCTGGTGAACACCCCAAGATCCTGGCAGGTCACCGAGGAGCCCTGTGGCTGCCTCTGACATCCCTGCAGTGAGCGAGCCCCGACAGGAGGCGGGCATCAGAAGCCAGGGGGGCGGCCGAGCTGCTCCCCCTGCCCAGGTGGAGGAGGGGCGTGTGCTGAGCCGCCCAGAGATCCCAGTGGCCCAGCCTGGTGGGGGGCTCCGGGCTAGCCCTGCACACCCGATGGTGGTGGGAAACCCTGAGGCGCCTCATCCAGGCAGTCCTGGGGGGAGGGGAGGCAGGTTCTACGTCAGGGGCCATGGAATGGTGCCTGGGTGGGAAGACATAAAGCCTCCTGTCCGCCTGCAGGTGAGCATCAAGCAGACAGGACTGCTGATGGGCTAGCACAGCCTGCGGAGCCGATGACCCAGGTCACGTCAGGCCAGGGCTTCCCATGGATGTCATTCGGAATGGACCAAAGAAGCCCAGGAGGCCCTGCCGGCGTGGCTCAGTGGCTGAGCATCGGTCTAGGAACCAGGAGGTCACGGTTCGATTCCCGGTCAGGGCATGTGCCTGGGTTGAGGGCATGATCCCCAGTGTGGGGCGGGCAGGAGGCAGCTGATCAATGATTCTCTCTCATCATTGATGTTTCTATCTCTCTCCCTCTCCCTTCCTCTCTGAAATCAATAAAAATATATTTTTTAAAAAAGAAACCTGTGAGGCCTGGGCCTGTCCCCCCTCCCTACATAGCTCCACCTGCTACAATTACGGGATCTGAGGAAAGGGGACAAGAATCCTGATTTAATCAAGATGAAGGGGCCTCAGAATGGAAATGAAGCCCTGGAGAACATGAAGAAGCCATGGCTCTGCCACACCTGAGCTCAATAACCGAGATGTGCACGGGCCTGGGCAGTGTGGGCAAACCCAGCCGTGTGGAGGGGAAGGGGAGGACACTTGCAGGGGGGTTGGAGGGGACCTGGGTTCCGGTGACCACTGCTGGATGCTCCGGCAGGAAAGGGAAAGGCCGCCACGGAGGGGACTGCGACACGGCTCAGGAGAGTCCTCAGAGGGAAGCGCGCAGTCGTGCGTGTGGACGCCCGAGCGCCTCCATGCCGAGCTCATGCGGGGCGTTTGCTGCATCTGAGCTTCAGACAACCTCCCGGGGCAGAAGGCATAGAACTGGATGCTCCGTCAGAAACTCACAGGGGCTTATGCATCACGGCGCCTCAGCGCAGGCCACCCTCCCAGAGGTGACAGAGAAGGCCCCCAGCCGTGCCCACGCAAGGACTCCTCCCCGATGCCCTCACCCCCAGAGGCAACCAGGAATTCAGGCGTCGTCCCCACCACAGGCACTGGCTGCCTGGGGAAGGCAGACATCCAAACAGAAAGATGCCCGTGTCCTCCTCCGAGAAACATGAGCAAGGACGGGCCCTGCTGCGGGCACCTCAGCCTCTGCGCCAGCCAGAAGGGGCATTTCCGCAGGAAACATGGCCCCTCGTGTGTCACTCACAGGAGGGGAGAGGTCACACTGCAGGACAGGCGGGCAGTGCTCCTGGGGTCCGTGCTGGGGCTGAGCACATGCCACAAGTCCCGGGCCAGGCACTTCCCTCTCAGAGCAGCTGGCCGCTCAGGGCATCTGGGACCCATCCTGCCCTCACTGCCACCTCCATGTCCAGGCTTCCCCATGTCCTTCACTGCAGTGGTCACTGGCCCCCAGCGGGCCGGCCCCCGGGCTTGCTCTCACTTCCTCCCCTGACCTTTCAGAGCTTCTGCACGTCCACTCAGCAGGTCCGAGCTCCCCCACCGCAGGCGAAGCTCTGGGACTGGCCGTGGCCCCTGCAGCAGCCTTGCTCCTCTCTGCGCTCGGGCTGCGGTCCAGGAGGGGCCTCTGAGTTAAGGCCCTCCGCTTGGCATGTGCGATGCCACTGCCTGAATCCCACCCCCGACCTTCACCTCACCAGTCTCCTCAGCCTGTAATCGTAACTTCCTCCATGGACGGGAAAGGGGTCAACAGAAAGCAGTTCATTTGCTGAGAGGGTAGATTTCTAAGTCGCCCTCCTCGCAGTCCTGTGACTGCGGCAGGGCAGCTGTCCTCACGTCGCAGCGGAGCCTGTGTCCAACAGCTAACCACTCACTCGTGGACAACTGGGCCGCTTGGGCCAGTTTATGCAAACCCTATGTATCCTGCACCGGGCACCGTGCTGGGCACTTCTCAGATTGTTTCATTTTTGAACAGCCTGGTTGGTACTTTTTTTTTGGTCCCCATTTTGGCATTAGAAGAGGTTAGGTCCCAGCCCAGCGTCTTGAGGCTGGTTAGTAAGGCCAGGATTCAACACACCAGCTCCATGGCCCACAGCAGCCGGGGGAGGGGGGGGAGCGGGCTGGCTTTGTGAAGGATGTTTTTATGGTTAATGTGACCCCCCAAGAAAGCTTTGTTGAGGTCCTAACCCCAGTCCCTCGGATGTAGCCTGTTGGGAAACAGGATCATTGCAGAAGTAATCCCTGCAGGTGAGGTCACCCTGCAGCAGGGTGGCTGCTGTCATGAGACAGATACACAGGGGAGACGGCCATGTGATGACGGGCAGAAGTGCTGCAGCTGCAAGGCAAGGAATGCCAAGGCTGCCTGCAATACCAGCAGCTAGAACAAGGCAAGGATGGGTCCTCCCCTACAGGTTTCAGAGGGAGCGTGGCCCTGCCAGCACCTTGCTTCCAGACTGTAGCCTCTGTAACCTCCGCTGGTGATACTTGTTACAGCAGCCACAGGAAACTAACACAGTGGCTTACACCTTTCATCACAGGCCTGAGTACTACGGTCAACTCTCCAGCTTTGACCCCAACTAGCAGCTCGTGCAGCATGAGACGGCCCTTCCTGCACACATTCTGCCTCACAAGTCACTGGCCCACCTTATTCTGGGACCAAGATGATGACAAACATACAAACTTAAAACAAAAAACAAATATTCGATCAGGGTTTTTGGATGGAAAAAGAATCTAGTTTTTTTCAACCTGATAGGGAAGAAATGTCACCCCCTTCACGACATTCCCTTGGCTGGGAGGCAGCAGGAAGTGAGACTTTGAGCTGCACCAAGATCTCTGTCTACAGCTGCTGAGAACACAAGAACTCGCCTGCTGCCCGGCTGGGAGGCTGGCCTGGTGAGGGACAAGAGGAGCATTTCCCAGAGACTAAGCCGGAGCCACTACGCTCCTGCCCTCTCCCAGAAGGGGCCAGGTGGGGCCTTCTTTTCAGCCCCTTCCTCGGGTAAGCTTGGCCCAGGAAAGCTGCCTGCAGTAGGTGAGCCTGTTGCAGGGTGAGGGGCAGATTCCTGCGTGACTACCTGCCAGAGAGCATAAGTTGCCAGGTGAAAAATTGCTGGCGAATAAGTCGTGCTGCTATGAACTAGCTTTATTTTGTATTTTGAGATTAGCCACGCCCCCTTTCTCAGGCTGATGCCCAGCCCATCTCAGCTAGAGAAATGCTGCCTTTCAGGAGCTAATATTCTGAAACGTTCTGGTTTATGGTGCCCAATGGCCAAATATGAGTTCAGAGATTCAAACACAACAGTGGGGCCTCATTTGCCATCAAGAGGCATCCATCCATCATCCATCCACCCACCCATCCATTCATCATCCATCCATCCATCCATCATCTATCCATCCATCCATCCATCCACCCATAATCCATCCACCCACACATAATCCATCCATCATCCATCCATCCATCATCCATCCTTTCATCATCCATCCATCCATCCATCCATCATCCATCCATCCATCATCCATCCATCCAGAATTTGTTGAGTGTCAAGCCCTCTCCATTAGCTTGCTTGCCCAGAAGGAAGGAGCTGGCAGCAACAGTCGGCAGGGACTAGGATTATCATTGGCTTGAAAATAACTAGACAGTGACTTTGTGCTCCTGCCCCCCAGTTCCTGGCAAGAAACAGCAGCGACCACACCTGTTCTGGCTTGGGCAGAAGCGTGACGGGCACTCAGGTCAGGGGACAAATTCCCTCCAGGCGCTCCTGTTCCTTCCCAGTGTGAACTGCATGACCTCTGGGACTGCATTTGCTACTCTGCACACACAGGTATGCAACGGCCAATTCTTAGTCCTCTTCTTACCTGGCATCTTAATGGCATTTGACACAGTGGATCAACCCCACCTCCTTCAACTATTTTTCATTCTTGGCTCCTAGAACATATTTCTATCTTTTCCTACTACCTGGGTGGTTCCTCTGGCAACCTTTCTCCTCTTGCTTCCACCCCTGCCTCTGCAGTGCATCCTCCATAGCAGCCAGAGGGAGGACTCTCATGTCTGATCACGACAGTCCATCCACGATTCTCCACTGGCTTCCCCTTCAGTCAGGCAGACAGAATCCTAGTGCTTTGTGTAATCTGGTCCCTTCCCTCCCTGCATGCTCTTCCCTTCGTGAACTCTAACCACACTGGCTCTTTCTCTGTGCCTCCAACAAACCCAGCTGACCCCCCTCGGCTTGACTCACTAGCCCCGTCTAGAATCATCTGCCAGACACTCTTGAGGCGGCACCCTTCACTCCATGCAGGTCTCTGCTCAAATGTCACCACTCAGGCCTTCCCTGTCCCCCGTCCACAAAGCCCTTCCCCCTCCCCCCGGTGTCCTTTCCTGTCATGTCCATGACGGTCTTTCATCTTCCCTGCTCACTGCTGAATTCTTGTTGCCCAGAACAGTGCCTGGCACAGAGTTGGCACTCAATAAACACTTGCTGAATGGAAAATAAATATAAATGCTTACTGGACTTTACAAAATCCCAACCTGCAGAGAAATCCGAATTATCGTGGTGGTATAGGAACACACAGGCGTGGGAGGGCCCGCGTGAGGACGTCACGTGGGTGCTGTGCACATTTGTCAGGCTCTGCAGCACAGTACAAAGCACAAGAGAGGAAAAAACACCGACCATATAATTGCTACTTTCCAATTTAGTGCAAGAACTAGGAGTGCACACTTTCCCAGACTCCCCAATCTGTTTGTCCTGCTAAATTACCATCTGACCCCGCCTCAGCCTTGCTTAAAACTCCTCAGCGACTCACCCTGCCCCGAGGATAAGGCCCGAACTCCTCTCGGAGGTCACACAACACCCTGATCTCACCTGTTCGCCGTACCATCTTCTCATCTCTTGCCTCTTCACACACTGGGTGCCACATTCCGCACAAGTGGAAATGCTGGCTCTTCTCTCAAGACACAGTTTCTTTTGTTTCTGAGTTTTGGCTCATTCTATTTCCTCACCTATAACACTTTCTATCCCCTCCTGCATCAGGAACTTCTGCATCACAAACCTCCCCAATGTCCTTCAGCGGGCCCTTCACATGTCTCAGGTTCCTGCAGGAGGAGAAGGCAGCCCAGTGTGCAAGTACTTCCAACTCTTGGCCCGTGTCACGCTTGCTAACAGTCACTGATGAAAGAAAGACAGGGCTAAGTCCAGACTGAAGGGGTGAAAAACGAATTCCACGTGATGGGAGCAGTGGTAAAATCCCAATAAATTAGGGCAAACACGTGAGGATGGGGGAATTACTGTAGTTCTTTCCCCCTCTTTGTCAGCTCCTACTCACCTTCTGCTCTCAATCTAGACAGACTCTCCTAATCCCTAGCGTGAGTGAGCAACCTGTCCCACAATACCTCACCTGCATCACTGTTATTGCCTGTATTACTCTCCATGCCAATGAGTGAATGAATACAGTGATATGGTATATGCTGGACCTCCCACGCATAGCTGGTGGGCTGTGCTCTCCACTTTATGGCAGCGTGGTATCAGCCTTCCCTAGTGACACGAAGGTCTCTGAAAGGAGGAGGGAGTTCTGGTTTCTGTTTTGTTTTCAATGCCTAGTATAGTACCTGGTTTTTATTTCTTAAAAATACCTGTGAAATAAACACTTAACTATAATAAAAGTAAAATGGGGTAAGTTCCATTTTTAAAAAGACACAAGAATATTCTTGAGATTCCTGCAAGACCCAGCAGGCTGCAAATAGTTAGCAAGATCTGAGATAGTATAAAATTAACTAAAATAACAATGAAACACCAGAGGGAAGAAAAGAAGAGAAAACCAGCCAGAGAAAGCAGCACTTCCTTTTTATTAGACTCACAATGCCGTTCTGAAGCCCAACCTCTCTCTGTAAAATGTGTATTTCTTATTAACGTCCCATTGGAAAGCAGACAGACTTAGTCTTCACTGTATCTCTGTGGTGCACCATCAACCAGTCCAGCATCTCACAGAAGAGCTCTGTGGAGGCTGGCGGTGATCAACCGGCCTCCCTCCTTCACACACACACACACTCTCTTAAATATGTACACACATACTCTTTTTTTTTTTTTTTACAAAAATAATATAACAGGTTTACACAGATCTATTAATTCTTTAAAGTTTCACAGCAAGGCCTATGCTTCATTATAAGCATTTTTTACTTTGGATTAAAGTGGGAACTTTAGGCCTAAAAATAGATTTAAGATTATTGAACAAAGGCCCTATAGCAACACAGACATAATAAATCTTGATCATCAGACAACTAGAAGTATTCTGTGGTTGTCCTTATGCTAGTCCTACTCCATATCCCCATCAATTATTTTCATTTTAACTAAAATACAAAAGTAAAATAGTTCACTGAAATAATCTTCTATTCATTACATTAGCACATATACCAAATTATACTAACTGCATGATAATCTCTATGTACCAAGACTGTATTTTTGTTATACTTCATTAAATATGGTATCCAACCATCAACCACACAAAAGGAATGCATACTAAACAACAAGGGAAGGAGAGAACAATAATTTTCAGGCTATCTTTTTACATGGCACCCAAAACAAAACAAGTAAGAGAAGCCTTACAAGATACTAGTAGGTATCAAACTAATTTGCAGTGACATTTAATATAGTCTTATCAGAAGGAATACATTTAGGTCATATATGGAAAAACACATATCTATGTGAAACTCTAGGATTTCTCCTAGAATATTAAAAATGCTCATCGAAAGTTAATTAGTATAATAAAAATGGTGACCAGGTGATTGAATAAACAGAATGTCATTTAATATATTAAAAACACAGATTCTGGGAATAGATTCTACCTCCAAAACACCCAGAAATCTAAGTTAACAGATTCTCTACTTTGCATACTTGATACTAATAAAAATAAGAAGTGTTTGCACAGACTATAAATGCAAGGCAACAGCCTAAGGGACAGTCACAGAAAGAATAAATGAACACAATCTTGAACACAACAGAGTGAGTACAGAGAGCTCCTGCATTTTTGGTCCCCAAACCCACCCCAAGGGCCATCTCTTTGGGGAAGAAATCTTTCAATAGTTCAAGCCCATGACCTCGGACCCCACAAGCTACTACCCTTCCCAAGCTTGGCACCAGAAAGTCTTTCAGATGCCAGTACGACGCTTGATCATTCAACTGGATAGGCCCTCTTCATGCCTCCCAGGTTCTGACCAGCACAACCTCCTTCCCACAGAAGGGGTCAGCACTGCCTTTGAAGTCACAATGGGTGGCCCAGGAAGAACTAGAAGAAGGAGGTATCTGATGAAAAAGCACCTGCCAGCCGGAAATCCTCTTTGGTGAGAACACTGTACATGCGCTGAGGCAGAGCTCGGGAGTAGGGGGCGGGGCGGGGCACCGTGGTACGAAGAATGAGTTCCCGGCCAGCAGGGGGTGGGAAGTCTGACACCGAGTTCTGCCTTCTCTCCTCTGCAGAGCCCATTCTCTTCAGTTCCTCCTCCGGTGGAGCCATGGCTGCAGCCTTGAATAGAATCAAATGCTAAATTCAAGATCAAGTCGGTGCTAAACTTACATCACTATGAAGGACAGATGAATAAACATGATAAATACAGAAAAATGTTCTACATTATTCAGTAATGTTGTCAACTATGTTATGACTACTCAAGAACACAACACAGAAAATACAAGAAGTTTGAAACACTACATGAGCAGCCAGAGATTACAAATAAATTGGTGAGAGAGACAGAAGGGATAATGACTACCGGGCAATCTGCTTTGAAAAGTGGGGGCCATATTCAAACATCTGATGAAGAGGGAAAATGTGCTGGTTTCTGTGTATCTTCTAGCAAAGACCCAAGAGAGTCTGATGTCCTCAGTCCAGTAATGGAGTTGGTTCTCACAGAGGCTAGAAAGGTGTTTTTTATGCCGGGTTCCAATTCTTTTTAAGGTTCACTGGTCGAATTAAAACTGGGGACAGTGGTATTGTTTGCTGGGCAGCTAATGTGAGGTAGTAGTGAGGTCTATGTAATGTAGCAATGGCAACAAAAGAGAAGTTCTTAATATCAAAGGCATCTATTTTCTCATTAAAATTGCATAAAATACATATTCAATTAGTCTTCATTTTAACTCTGATCACTATAGTTGTTTCATTTCTCTAATCACTGTATTTCTTTCAGAATACCCCTGATTTGGAAAAAAAAAATTTTGGCAATGGAAATATGAAACTATGTTATACAAGAATCATCAAGAAAGGTATGTCAAATCCAAACTGTTAAAGTGGTCGTTAGTCTTAATGATCTTACGAAGTTAGAGGGAGGGGAAGGAACAAGAAACTATGAGGGACAAGGCTGTTTGTTACCTCATCAGAAGATTCAGTCAGCTTGAGAAAGGGTGAGAAAAGAAACAGTGATGAAAGGGAAACAAAAACAAGCAAGATGGTTTTAAAAAGAGACAAGGAATTTCAAGATTATTTCAGACAGCATGCACTATATTAAGGAACATGATTCTATCAAAAGAATTATCAAGACAAACATACAACACACCTAGTTATCAAACTGAGCAGACATACCCACTACTCATGCATCTGATGGCTCAACAAGTGACGTACAGAATGTCATTTAATGGGAAAATGATTTAACAAAAATCTACCACTTTCAAAAAAATAAGTTTTTATTGATTTTTTTTTAAGAGAGAGAGGAAGGGAGAGGGATAGAGAGATGGAAACATCAATGAGCGAAATATCATCTATCGGCTGCCTCCTGCACACCCACTGGGTGAGGATCAAGCCCATAACCTGGGCCTGTGCCCTGACCAGGAATCGAACCAGTGACCTCTTTGTTCATGGGTTGATGCTCAACCACTGAGCCATACCGGCCAGGAAAAGAATCTGAGTTTTACTGAAAAATTAAGATGCTAAAAAAATGTGTTCACGTCTTGAAAAATAGATAATCCAATAGATTTAAGGAAAGGTCTCAGAGTTATTCAATTTAGCAAGAATGAAGCAAAATCAAATCAGTGGTTTATTTGCTCTAATCCATTTAAGTATATACCACTGAAACATATAATCATGAAGTTAATTAAAATGTATGATTTTTTTTTCCTCTAGCCGGTTTGGCTCAGTGGATAGAGTGTTGGCCTGTGGACTAAAGGGCCCGAGTTTGATTCCGATCAAGGGCATGTACCTGGGTTGCAGGCTTCTCCCCAGCTCAGGCCCTGGTCAGGGCTTGTGCAGGAGGCAACCAATCGATGTGCTTCTCTCACATCGATATTTCTCTCTGTCTTTCCATCTCTCTTCCACTTTCCCTAAAAAAAAAAAAAAAATCAATGGAAAAATATCCTCAGGTGAGGATTAACAAAAACAACAACAACAACAAAAATGTATGATTTTTTTTGGTTAATTCTCACCAATGGATATTTTTTCCATTGATTTTTAGAGAGAGTGGAAGTGGGGGGGGGAGGAGAGAGAGAAAAGCATCGATGTGAGGGAGACACACTGATTGGTTGCCTCCCGCACCTGCCTGGACAGGGGCCAGGGAGTGAACCTGAAACCCAGGTACATGCCCTCAATCAGGAATCGAATCCACGACCCCTTGGTGCTCAGGCAAACACTCTAACTGCTGGGCTAGACTGGCCAGGGCTAAAATGTATGAATATATAAAATTACTGTGTGCCTATATTATTAGTAAACTGATACACAATGTCAGTTATGAAAAAAAAAGTTACATGAATAAACTTGAATGGTTTTCATTAGCCAGGCATTTAAGGACTGAGTTTAGAAATGTACCAACCAAGTGCTTGTTTTATGGATTAGTCTGCCAATTCCCTGAAACATTCACCACAAGGTATGGAAGTTTGAAATCTTTTACAATTACATAATGTGGGATGAATGAACAATTTCAGATTGGCTATATGATGAGGCCCTGA